TATTTGATTCAATTTGATTTGATTCGATCAAATTTAAATTGATTCAAATTGATTTGATCAAATATTTGAGTTCAATTTTATTCGATTTGAAAAATCAAATCAAATTCAAATTGCTTAAATATTTGATTTGATTTGATTTTGAGGAACCCTAAGAGTTGGCATATATTTGGCTAATATTATTACTTATACTGGTACAATTCATCAGTTTTGGTAAGATCAGAATATGGTAGTAGAACAAAGTGTTCTATGATCTAAATTTAAGGCAACAATTGCAAGAAGTCTAAGCTAGGTCATAGAATGATAATCAAATGCTAACACAAGCTCTAAATAATGAAGCATATGAACATCAGGTATGGTGGCTTAGGACTCAGAAATCAGAAAGATGTAACTATATATTATTGCAAGAAAAGGTAGCCCTTCAGTTAATTAATTGAAGGCACAAAACTGAAGCTGACTTAGCAGAATTCAATAAAGCCTGAGTATTTAATCATATCAAAAATGAAAAGCTCGAGAAATAAATTTGAGGCAAATTATTTTGAATTTACAAATAAATCCTTCAAGGAAATATAGTTACCCTACCAGATATTTTAAATTCAATAACCATACTTTTAACTCAAATACAACAATATATTGGTCAAAAGCTATCAGATGACTATTATAATAAGATTATGCAAGCGATTAATTATGATGATTTATTAAGAGTAGCAGTTTTTAATGATGGTGTAAAAAATAATATATTAGCAGGAAAGATGATGAGAAATTTTACTCTTTCTAATCCATTTAATAATATTGCAGGAATTGTGGTTACTACTCCAGCATTATTTATAACATGTCTTCAAAAGATATATTATGCAGTAAAACTAGGTTTAGCATAAGCTTCTATGAAAGTGCTTATGACTGATAAATTCCTTTCTATCGATACTCCAGAAACATATGGGAGGCGATCAGTAGAAAAGGAGGAAATCCAAATTTTGGTCAAAATTTATATAATTGAACCACTTGGCTGATCTTAACCATGTACACAAAATTAGCTTAATAATTAAAATTAACAAAAATTTTAGATTTTCCTCTTTTCTACTGACCGCCTCTTATATGAAAAACAAATTAACCCACGTGTAGATGCTTTACTATTTACAGATACTCTACCTATTCTTTATAGCCATTAACCTAAAAATTTAGAATTACAGATTAAAATTGGAAATCCAGCAGATATAAATGCCTTTTTTTACCCAATTTAATGATAAATAGTTAGAAGCTAGTAGACGTATAAGTATTTCTTCCTTCAGTGAAAAAAATCTATTACATTTATCTATACAAAAAGATTTGCAAGCTGAACATAAATTTATAGTTCATCTTGCAAAAAATTTGGACTATTTAGGTGTAACAATAGATATCTCAACCTTAGAACCATATATCTATGATGAATTTGATAAAAGATTAGTACAAAAAATATGTTAGAAGGAGTCCCTTCTTAGCGTTAAAGATTAGAAATACAAATGCTATAAAGAAAGCTGTTAGAAGGTAATACAAAAAGCACTAATTGAACAAATTATCTCTCAGAAAGTTATTTGTCATTGCTCAGTTTGTGAAAAGGCTAACTATATAAAGATTAATTGTCCTGGAGTTAAATAGACTAAAAAGGTTAATTTTGTATATCATAATAAAGTAGAAGAGCTTGAAGATTCTAAAGAAAAATATATAGAAGAATACATAGTGAAAGAGGAAGAGGATCCTAAAGAAGAGGAAGTAGAAGAAAATGTCAAATATGTTGATGATGATGATTCTACTTTAAACACCTCTGACTGAAACTGCTATGCTATAAAAAAGTATTACAAAGTGCAATACCTATGAAAAACACTTACCAGAAGAAATTCTCTACTTCTAAGTCTTGTAAATAAACAGAACCCTTAGCATCTATAACCATGATTATAGATTATGTTTTTCTAGTAGCCTTAAAATCTATATTATCATCTGTTGTATAACATATTTTTAAAGAAATTCTTAAGAAAGGCTCTCAATATATTAATATAATATATCCTAAATTAAAAGATCAGATTATGAATACGGTTATAAAATATGATACTGTAATAAAAAGAGAAAAAGTATGGAGGCATATTACAAATAAAATTATAAATGTTTTACATCCACTAATCCAAGCCACAAATATAGAGCAAAAACCTCTTATTCAAGTCCTGATAGAAGAAAATCTAGAAGGTCTTAAAGTGATCGAGTCAGATAACCCTATGAAAGATATAATACCAGTGAATTCTAATACTCTAAACCATACTATTAAAGCATATATATAACGTCTTTCAGCTGAAAAAAAAGTAGTCAAATATATTGGCCCAAGCCTTTGAAAATAAATTTTCTTCGAATAAAGGATGCTGATGATGTTGCAACTATTTATTGCAAAATAGGGGATTTAATAATTCTATACGCAATGATAGATACAGGCTCTAATTCTTATATCTTTTTAAATAATATTGCAAAATTTGTTAAAGAATTGTTAGGTATTAAAATTGATAGGAAAAAAATTCATATGCTTAATAGAGTTACATATCCACTGATACTATAGACAATATTTCCATAACAATTGGTTTTGGAGATAATACATCTAATATCAAGGATGAATTTTCTGTTATGTCTGCAGAAAAAGATCATAATGGAAATGCTAAATTTTTAGTAATTTTTGATATTCAATGGCAATATCGAGCTAGATGAAAGTCTTTAATAAAAGGAGAATTTAAAGCCACATGTAATGAAAAGACTATTATCATTTCCCTATTAGTTTACAAATCTCAGCGAAATGTCTTTACTGCAGAAAAGAAGGATCCTAAAGGTATCATTCCTATAGAAAAAATAAACTAGCTGATCGGATATGTCAATACTGTAAGAAAAAATTCCAATATCTATACTGACTAATTGAATATATGAAGGCAAAAATAATTGCAATAATAGGCTCTGATAGTAAATAACGGTATCTCACCAGTGAATAACAATGCTCTGACAGTAAATAACAGTGTCTTATCATTAAATAATAATGTTTCACCAGTGAATAACAATATTCCAGTTGTAAATATCATATCTAAGATCAAACTAGATTAATCGAATTATGAACATATGAGCGGAATGTATATTTTTTTTGGATAGCAGGATCATCTTTGGTATCATCATACCATTCTTTTCACAAATCACATGCATCCTTTTTATAAAAGCTAGTTGCTTCTATAGTATAAGATAAGGGCAGTCAAACAAGCCTAAATTCATATAAATCCGATCAGTAGATGTCGAAATATTATCCTTCAAAGTTCAGGCAAAAAAAAATATATATTCTATATTATGATTTAGCCAATTTGATCGCCCGAATATAACTGCGTGATCATGTGATACTACATGGATTTCCGTTGGATGTCATCTGATACTGAGCCCTAAAGAAGCAGTATCATATGATCAAATTACACACACATTGCTTATAGATACTATTAGCCACCTTTGATTCTTAATCTGAATCAGATTCAGATAAATTTTTAACTCTTTACCTGACTCTAAGCCAGTTGGTCTCTTCTACATAATTTCCTATCCAGTCTATAGTTCTTTCAACTGAAAATTAAGTTTATCCACTTTTATCATTAATGCTACAATTTCTCCAATAAAAATACTGGATTTTTTATCAATTGCTGAAGACGCTCTTATATAATGATCGAGTTCTGATAACTTCATTAGCTCTTTTACCATGCCTTTCTTATACTTGCTATATGTGCTATTAAATAATTGCTTTTGCTTGCTTTCCATTATAGAGAAGTATTCTGTAACCAAATATTTATTATATAAGAAAAAAATATATAATAATAATACTCCTTCGGTCAAGATTATCGGAGATATAGAATACTCTAACTTATTGGGATAGATATGTAAGATACACATTCATTTTGATACTTCTTTGGAAGCTTAGCTATTATAGCTCTTTTTCGGCCTCTTCTTATTCTTGAATACTTGAATACGTTAATGATTATAAGGAATGCCAGTTACCTTATCTGATAATATCTAATGCTTAGTATTTATAGGATAGAGAGCTTTCTTTTCAGACTTAACTAGAGATATAATATGATCTTTTGATTGGAATCTTATATAATCCCAATATATTTGAGTCATAGAGGATTTACTTTTGGGATATGTATTCATTCATACCCTTCTTGCTGACTCCCTTATGCTTTGATTTTGTGGATTTATCAGCTAAGACAATATGTATAATTTTGCCTGAATGTGAAATGATTCAGTAATCACATTTCCTGAAGTCTTATCTTTGAAAAGCCCAATAGTTTTTAAATCATTAAGATTAAAGAGGTCTGGTTGTTCTGCCATATAATTATAAATATATTTGGTCTTAACTATGAATATAAAGGAGTCCGTATCTATATACCCAAGCTTTGCCTTATCCCCATATTTCTCTTTTACATAATCATACCAGAAGTAATACATTAAAAGCTTGCTAAGACCTAGAACTGATGCTTCAACAATGATTGGTTTATTGAGAACTACGCTAACTTTTCTCATATATGTACCTACTAGCATATCTCCAAGTTGTCTGCCATACTTAAAATTTGGGCTTTTGATTTTCTCAAGAAACTTCTTCTTATCTAACTCATTATTATAGGCAATAATCTTAACATCCTGATATTTTCTAACATTTTCCATAGTCTTACCATATACTGAATTATTCATGAGTTTGAAGAAGTCTTTTTCAAATATATTCTTAGTTTTTTAGCGTAATTTAGTATTTTTTGCAATATATGGTAGTTAAATGATAAGATCTTTGTGACCTCATTTACAACTATGCCTAACTTTATATAATACTACAGTGAACTCTTGATATAACGAATTCTAGGATCTGGATATCAACTTCGTTATAAGCTTATAACGAATTTTTTAAAGAATTTAATTGGCTAGTTCACTATAGTAAAGGTAATTTTAATATATTTGATTTAAAAATTCGCTATATCAAGGGTTCGCTATATTGAGATTTGACTGTAGAACTACTGATAATGAATGATATAATTTTTTCGTGAGCTAATATGGGAGACTAATTTTTTTGTTGTATAGAATCGCCTACCATTCATATCATTTACAAGCTAAGAGCATAATATATCTTTTTTTACTGTGATATTTTCCACAGCTGGAAGTAAGTCCCTCAAATAGTTGTGAGACTTTAGGGGAAAATAGGAATTAATTAAAAAGAATCCACGTGATGCATCTGCTCCATTCTTGAGAATCATTTCAAGATATTTTTTTTGCATTTTAAGATTATTCTTTAGATATTCTCGACTAGCAATCCACTTATAATTTCCAACTGGAAGAAATTGGCTAATAGCCCAATTATAAAGATTATTCGCATTGATATAGAAGATCCATGTTGTGAGTTGGGATAGGTCGAATTCCTCACCTATGCTAGGATTATTTACTTGAAAATGTCTATGTACTGCCATAGTAATATCACCTCATTTTGCTTTTTCAATGAAATCATGCATTGCCATTTTTGTAAATAGCTCGATCTTGATCTTGGTCATCTTAAGTATAGCTTTTCAGGATAGAGAAGATGCAAATACATAATAGCTGGTATCAAGGCCATAATGATGCATGGATGTCTTTCTAAATTTTGTTCAGACATCTGCTAGACTAAGTACGTCTATTATGAGATAGAGATCATTATATTCTTCCAAGTTTTTGCACCAAAATTCCTTCCATACATTTTGGACATGATTATTATCCTCTTGTAAAATTTTTCCTTCAAGAACACTATCAAACTCATGAATTAAGGGTTAGTCTATTTC